AAAATCGAGTTTTTGCCCGGACACTGCCTTTAATCCACTTCATTCAATTCGCTAATCAAATCAGGTGACTGACCAATAGCAATGCAGATGTCCACTTGATCCACTTCGCTATTGGTCACTTTGCTCATGTGATCAATAACGAAATAGATCAAGAGGATCAAGCGGATCAAGTATGGCGCATGCCTTGGAGATATGAAATGGAAACTGACAAGAAAGCCTCACCGCTATGCCAACTCGCTATGTGACGTTTGACTTTACTAGGAAATGGTGCGCAATATTCGCAGTACGGACACCTACAAGACTCAAAACTTTGTTTGATAAAAAGAAAAAATCTGTTAATTAGGAACCAAGTCAAAACGAGCAATCTGATTATGAAGCTCACTGATGTCTTTTGGCAGACTCCTGCATTCGCCTCTTCGCGTTTTCCTTCAAAATTTCTGCCCTTTCTTTTGACCCTTTTGGTGGAAGCGCATGACGTTGCCGATATGCTCTGTTAGCGTCTAGATTGTGCGTAATCACTTCTGTTGTACCTAAAACATCAGCTTTCACCTCATAAATTCAAACTTTATTGAAACACGTCATTTGACAAACGATATTCAAAAATTTACCACATGAACTAGAGTTAGCATTACTATTTCCATTGTCATCAATCTTTTCATTAGCGTTCCTATCGCACTCACTATCGGAATCAATCACGAAGTTATTGACGACAGGAGACGAGGAACGTTCCTGCGAAAACATAACTTGTGTACCTGTACAATTATACGAGAAAGGTAAAATTTACACTTACTTCGTATACCAAATCATCCACATCATCACTAGCGCAAGACGGTGTCATGGAGTCATATTTCGAAGAAAGATCCGATGCTTCAGGCGATGTTGCATTCGGAAAGTCGCCTGAACTTCAAAATTGATAATAAGAAAGTTTGAATGGCCACATCACATTTCAGACGGCTCAAATTACGCATCTTGAATTCAGCCCTCGAATAGAAAGGAGGATAGTGAAAATAACTGCTGAAGCAGTCGTGTCTTTGGAGATATCAGGATATAAGTATGAGCTCTGGTTCGGTACTACAAATTCATGACGGGGCAGGAATTTTGCGGCAAAGAAAAAAAAACAGAGAAGTACTCGCTTCAACAGCAACTTGAGATGGAATTTTGGCCCTCAAAGGAAGCGTCGACCGCAGAATTTCACTTTCCAGTTTAATTTTTCGGAACCTTCTCGCCATGGGGAATCTATCTGGGCTTTTCAACGCGTGTGAAAGGAGAAAATAAGCCTTTTTCAAAGATTTCCAGGTCAGCATTCACTGTTAATACGCCGAAATCCGCGCCCCGCCTCCCTCCTTTCAAACTCCGCCCCTTATACGTATCTTCCACTGAATGCGGACCTGAAAAGCTTCGAAAAAAGGCTCATTTCCGCCATTTTCATGCGGTAAAAAGCCCATACATGGGTTCCTCATGGCGAGAAATCTCCGAAAAGGTAACAAAATCGAAAACTATGTTCTTCCGGGACACTTTACATCAGTACTGATAACCGCGAGCGACTTACATTCAACAACAGACTCCTTTTTCCGACGCTCCTTTTTCCGGTGCTCCGTCATGTTTTCCCTATAGATAACTAAGACAATGATGTAAGCAAATGCAAGACATATAAACGTTAGAACAGGATGGGAAAAATGCAAGCAAGATATTTAAAATATTTATCTCATGTGAGATGTAATCACTTGATACAACAGAACAGCAAACTTTGCATAAAGTATCTACAACATTTCAATCTAAAGGACTAGGCAAACGTAGAAAAATAACAGCAATGACGAAACAATGACAGCTGAAAGAAAATGACCTAAAATGGTCGTAATAACCTGAGCTCAGCGATTCATTGACATACTGCAAAGCTGGCTTGATGAACATATAAGATAGAGAGCCGACTCTACAAGAGGTAAAGCAATACAGAGATGAATCGTATACAATTTCAAAACGATTGTGAATGTGTACAGTCTATCAATCACCCGCCGTTGAGATACGAAGCTAATCCTCGTCAGAGGAATCCGGAGGAAGTAGTGGAAACTCGGATGGTTCGTCAGCAATTTCACTCTGAAAAGCTGTTTTATAATGTACAAAAACCAACGCAGCGATTCTCACTTCATTTTCTTCCGGAGGAAGTAATCCAAACTGCTCAGCTGCTTGTCGCCTCTCCTCAGCCGTCTCCAGCAGATTTTTCTTTCCGGAAACTTCTAGATCATCAGAAACAACCTCGCGACCTTCCTAAAAGCGATTTATTCAGAACACCTAAGCGACCGTTCCAAAAAATGATATTTTTCAAGAATAAAGTGTCAAAAAGTGCATGAAAAACTGCATCACTTAGACGACAAGAAAAAAATTAATGAACCTCATTGTCGACCCGACGATCAATCCATGTCGGATCGCTCTCCATCATTTTCTTCATTGAGTCTACAGCACTGGACAACTCCGCCAACTCTGATGTGTTGTTAGCATCGTTGAGTCCGTAAACATCAATAGCATGGATAAGAGCAGTGAGGCGAGCAAGATCCGACGGAACTGAATATCTGACATACACAATAAACTAGGAATACTTCTCCATCAGGAAAATAATCGAGATAGATTGTCAGCTTAGCTTAAGATGATATTTTCAAGCTTTACAGCTTGTCAACAAAGGATCAATAAAAGAAAAGTAGAGCCTCAGACAATCAACCGGGACTTCCATAGAACGTTTGCGAAAGTTTCGCCGGTTCACCTGCGCAAGTTCCGTAAACGTGCTGCGAAAGTCCCGAAATGGGGTGCTGCGGAACTTCCGAAAAATGCGACAGCACAACAGCAAAAGACACTTGAGCAAGTTTGAACCCTACTCTATTGACTGCGAGCCTCACTATCCTATGCACTATGAATGACATGTTCGATAATCAGTCAAATCGTTAACGAGACAACATCGTAGATGAGGACAAATCAAAGTCCTGCAAAAGTACTGGCAGGCCAAAGTGCTGCGGA